ATTTTTTTTTTTCATTTATTTCCAGAATATTCAATTTTCTCATTTTATTTATATAATTTTGATTTCTCTTCTATATTTGTGATTCCGGAGTTAATAAAGCTTTAATAGCCTTCCGTTTGTAAAAAGGTTTAATAGCCTTCAAAGTCCATTAGAATATGCGAAATTAATTTTATTCACCATCGTTTCTCGTTCAACATCATCTTTTTCATAAAATCCCAATATCACCAAGATATTTAACGTCCCAAAGAAAAAATGTAAAGATTTAGTTCAATAATTTGCTAAATAAAACGGAGTTGATCTAACTTGAAATCACGCGTAAAACGTAGAAGTAAAATCCATGCAACAAATACTAGAACTTTTAACGTTAACAGCTTATTGTTGTTAAAATTTTGCTCCAGATTTTGATTAAAAAAATTTGGTTTTAATAAAATGTTTACATTAGATTTTTAACGAGTATTTTGACATTAGTTGATTAAATTAATAATCGATTAATTAGTTTGCATTTCTCATGAAAATTTTAATAATCAAAAAATAATCTTTTAAATTGTATGTATGTTTAGATACGCAGATATTTTGTAAAATTTTTTTTAAGATTGCTTTTCAGGCTTTTTTTTCTACACTGTTATTTTTATTCATTATTTTATTATTTCTTCTTATGTTTATTTAGGCAAAACGTTATTTCAATAAGCCATTTAAAATCCTGTATTTTAAATTAAAATAAATATTTTTCTTGAAAAATTTTTAAGAATTTGCATGAAATTAAGTGTACATCACATTGTACATAAATAAACGCATGATGTATGTACATACTTATACATATGTATGTATAGTATTTATGAAATACATATATGTGTGCGTAGCTATGTATAAAGCGAATATTTTTAATAGATGATTATCTTTTTAAAAATTACTAAAGAAAAATAAATAAAATAATTTTTATTGTTATGATTATTAAGTTTTTTTCTCTAACAACTTTGCATATTTATAAAATGTTTGACTTTTAATAATATGAAAAATTTTTTTTACTAAACAAAACTAAGCCCAAGGCGTGGTCATGGTAATATTCTTGGGTCGCTTGCTGCGGGAACAGCTGAAGTTATTACAGACTATTATCTCCTAAGATTGAGCTTACGACAAGTATTTTTCTGTAAGGCTTCCCTCTCGGGACTAATGGAGGATGGTCTCCTTTATTTTTTATAACAGAACTTTATTCACTAATGGCTCCAAGGATCTCAATTGTATCGGCTTCCTAAAGAGTCGAGCGTCTTTCAGACGAAAGTTTTCGCCATTAAATATAAAAAATTTTATTTCATACAAACTCGAAGAATAAATACAAACTCGACGAAACTGTGAAGTCAGCCTAGATAAACAAGTTTCAACTTTTCAGCATTGTAAAGTTCTAAAATAAAAGTAGAAAGAACATTTTTCCGAGAAAAATTTTATGCCGAATTGCTTTTTCTCAATGTTTGTAAATCACAAATTTTATAATTAACCTTTTACACATGTATGCATACAAAATTATAACCCAGTCTCTTAAAAGTCATCTTATTTACATACATTAATTTCAGAGGGATTTAAAATTTTTTCAACATGGAAAATATTTAATTAATCATTTTAAATCCTCTTGACTATTTATTGGCATCAACAAATAAAAATCTTCTTCAAGCATTATTTCATTTTCGAATTCAATTTTCTCCAAAAGTAATTTTTTGATTTTTGTAATTATTATCTTGCATATTAAAAATAAATATTTTCATATGTGAATACATATATAAAATATTGCTTCAATTTCTCATTTATTTTGCGTTTTTTTTCGTGTTAGCAAAAAATTAATATTAATTTGAAAGCCACACGTCATAATGGCCACCTACAGCAAAAATATATGGTAAATAATATAATTTGTGTATAATTTCAATGCGGTTGCCAGCTTGATCATGAAGCTCAGAATGAAATAACGTAAGAATGAAATTTATTATTTTATGGCTCCAGTTGGCGGCACTGATTATAATTTTTAAAAGAATTTTTTTGTTAAATCAGGTTTTCCATTCCATCTTCATAGTAGAAGGAATTCTGCATACATACAAATTCAATGTAAAGTACCAAATAAAAGCACGAGCGTATATTATAGGAATTTACACTTTTTTATTCAAATCAAATTATTAAAGTTGCAATTTGCAAATGCAAAGGAAAACTGCGTTATTGCATAATGTGATCGCATAATGTAAAAGAAATGTAATATTAAAGATAAAAGCGGTCATGTAAGCTAGTAGAACAATAAGTTAAACTTAAATTTTGTAAAATCAAATTACAAGGACTTGAGATTTTAAGAACACGTTTCCAATCATTTCTCAATTGCGGATAATTATTATATTTTTGCGATATTCAATTTATTTCGCCATTATTCGATCACTTAAATAATTATTGTTTTTGATCTATATTCCTTGTGCTCTTATTACAAAAAAATATTACATAAGTATACGGCAAACCAATGAAAACAATATTTAAAATTAAAATATAAATTTATACTTAAATAAATATCATTAAGTTGTGCAAGATTTAAATTTTTTTTAATATTTTAATTTTTTTTAAATTCTTCAACTACTTGTTATAGAATAAATATTGAATATCAGTTCTAAAGGGCATATAAAAAGTAAATTCTTTTACTTTTTAAATTTATTTAAATTAAAAAACTTTGTGAATTTTATTCATAGGCCCCCATTCTTTTTCTCCGTTACTCTACATACGCTTATTATTAACTACATAATATAATCAAGTTTCAGAATTCAGATGCACACATTCTTACTAAATTAAGTATCTCATCTCTCACTATACTCATTGCTCACTACACTACCAAATATCAACTACAAACACAAATAAGAAAATATTATAGAATACTGAATAGTATAGAAAATATTATAGAAAATATTAAACACGAACAACATAAATGAGAAAGAGAAATACGATGATAAGAAAAATTACAAGAAAAAGTGGCCGGATTTATAAAAAGCGTATCAATATTGATACCTACATTTTGGTGTTTCTAAAACAATAAAAGAACTAGCATAATTATAAGATTATAATATATTTTATTCCATTATTGGCTTTATTATTTAAATTTAAGTACAAATTCAAAAAAGTGTGTTATTAAGGATAATTGATTGTGAGTAACTCAACTTCGAATTTTTCAAAATTAGGCAAAAACTTAATTTAGTTGGAAATTTGTTCATTTATAAATACATTAATATATAATACATTATATTTTAATACATACATTTTCATTTTTACTTATTTTGACATGCCGATGTTATATGTACATTTTATGTATTATTATAGTTTGCTATAAAAAGTGGTGTTCTATCAACTTTTTTACAATTTCACAAAAGATGAACAAATTTTAATTTAGATTCCCATTACTGTCACCTTATTCCTAATTCCTGCAAACATAATACATATTTATGTGTGATACATAATACATATGCTTGTATGTTACATATGCACATATGGATTTGTGTTACTCACAATACTTCAATTACAATAAAACATAACATGAGTCATGACAATGAGAGAATCAATGAGAGTGTACAAAAGAGACCTTAATTTAAAATTTCAGTGATACCGTTTTAGTGACTTTATTGCTACATCTAGAAGAATTTCTTAAAATTTCAGCTACAAAATACTCTAATATTTATGTACGTCGCTAAAAAAATTTAGGGTTTCTTGGCTACTTTTCCAAGGAAATATTAATAGATAAAAAAGAAAATTAACACATATTTGACGAACTCACATTGCAATGGCATATTTTTTATTGCTTTTTCTTTTTATTGCATTCATTCGTGCGTTATATAAGACGATTGATTTCCAAAATAATATAAACATTATTAAATCTTAATTTGGGTTATATTTCATAATCAAAAACGCTTGTAAATTTGTGGTAAACTTAAATGCATTTGTTGTACTAAAATTTATAGGAATATAGAAAGTTTTCAAATATAAACTAGCAACTTTTCTTTGTGAATGCAGCACTGCTCGTTGGTACAAAATAATATATGTATGTACGTAATTTTGTTCATAAAAAAATTGTTAATATACCGGTTGTAAAAGTTAAAAGACGTAAAACTATCTCCAAAATTATTCATAAAATATATTGAAGATTGAATTCTATTTCAACATCTTTATTGTGTCGGAGTAATCTGTTCTGGTCTTTATGATTTTTGTATTGACTTACATGAAAAATAATATACATATATGTATATTATATAGTTAATAGTGACATTTTGTGTTACTGTACGATAATGTGACTTTACTGTAATTGCAGTAGATCTACTTTTTTGAATCTGTCACTCTTCTTTCAGAAATTTCCAATTTATGTATTAATCTGCTACACTTTTTTTTTCGAAATTGTAAATTTTGTATTTTCGGCACCTTCTGAAACTGCAAACTTTTCTAAAATTCTATAAGGTAAATTCCATGTCACAAAAAAATAATTATTTTTCTTAGCTCAAGCAGTTGACTCTCGAATTTAAGCTTTTATGTTAACGCGCTTTTAAATTTTTTTTTTCCCTCATCCTAAATGTATGCAACGTTTGAAATATTTTGCATTTGAATGAAAGTAATTTAAATAATGTAATACAGATTGTTTTTAAGAGTAATGTTTTCACTTATTGATGGGTATTGTGTTACTTTACAGACCATTGTTTTGACCACACTTTATTTAAATAAAGAAATAGTGTTTTAGTTCAATATGTATTTTGTTGTGTTTTTTTTAATTTTTCTTTTCAGAAAAGTGCAGTAAATTTGCTACAATTTTGAAGTTCTTAAGTCACATCACTGTATTTATATTTCTCATTTTTATTTATACAATGTTTTTGTACAATACAAATATATTTTTGGCTTCGTTTCGCTGTGTTAGAAAGAAATTGAGAAATATATAGATTTTTTTTTACATATTTTCAAATAAAATAAAATACACAATTCTTATTTTAAATTGTTCATTTAGTCACGGTTAAGATACGAATAGGAACGTACCTTTTAAAAGAGCGCGGCTAATAATAAAAATATTGTTATTTTTATTAGAACAAAATTAAATACAATTTTTTTTTGTCTTGTCAAATTTTTTTTTTTCTAATTTTCCATTAGAAAATTAAAATTTCTTATTTTTGTCATCATTACTTAAAAAGATTATTTTTTTTGTATGATTATAGAAATTTTATAATTTCTTATTCGTATTTTTTGTATACCGCCAATATACACTCGCTATCAAAATAAAAAAAAAGTATATTTATATACATTTTTGTGAAAAAATAATTGAATTATTAAAATATTGAGTTTTTGGTTAATTTTCGGTGAAAAAAGTTTTGTTTTAATAAAGAAAGAATTTCCTATATTAAAAAAATTAAAAAAATATAATCAAAATGAGCAGTAAGTTTTTTCAATTTTGACTAATGAACATTAATTTTTTTCTTTTTTTAAATATTTTTCATATCATCATGCTTTTTAAATATTTTTATTATATCTTTAAATTATATTATGTATATTTTTAGCTATTTGCATAAAAAATATTTATTAATAAACATATATTCTATATTCAGTTGTTATACGTATTACGCGTATTATATCGGAATCATAATTGAATCGATATTGAATATTTGCGCCAAATAATAAAAGAGAATTAAAAATAGCTTTAGCCGAGATTTGTGGAAACTTGATTAAAGTAATGTGTTAAATACACAATTAATATTACACGTTTTTTTAAATTGTATTTAAAAAAGCATCATGAATTTCGAACAGTTGAGTTTTTATTCAAAAGAAATTTTGAAAGTACATAACTATGTATGCATATACATACATATCTACTTACATACATATGTATGTATATGAAATATTACAGTTTCTAAATTTTTAAAACTATACCTACATATATATATATATATATGTGTGCTAACAATTTAATATCAAAAAAAATATTTTAGAATTTGAAACAATTTCATATATTTTATAAAAATATTTGATTTGACCCTGAATGACCTTCAACTTTCATAATTATAATAAAACAAATGTTTTGTTTCTTTTTTTTTATTATTCTTGATTCCCTTTATCATTTTCAAAGATTTTATTGCAAAATTTTTGAAAGAGAAGCATACGTACATACATATGTAGGTATTTTAATACTTGTTTCTTGTTTTTTCATCCTGAAGAGGAATTAAACCGATTGTCAAATGAGTAGTAATGTTACAGTCAAAATAAGTCAAAATTATTAAATTAGATAAATGTTTATATGAATTATGCAGATTTTAAAATTAAATAAAGCAATTGGTCTGGTTACCAAAAGAGAAATTTTCTTCTAGGAAAATAAACATGCAGTGAAACTTAAATTGTTATTTTAATAATTTCATATAATGTCTAATATATATGTATGTACATACATATACTGACATTATATTATACATGTTTAGTTGATTTAAGCAATATAAATTAAGTAGGTGTTTAACTTGCTGGCACTTATTGCTTGCTTTATGCATATGTTTGTAGATAACATTATGTTATATACATGTACATACACAAGTTATTGTGTGGAAATTTGGTTATGTACCTATATTCCATATTTTCCCACGCGGTATAACGAAAAATACCAATAAAAATGATAAAAAGTTGATAAGGAGGTAAATATGTAAAATGTGCGAGTTTTCTTAAACTACATACTTGTAATTATATAAGTATTTAATCCATCGAATTTTTAATTAAGCAATAAATCAAAAAAAAAAAAATTTTATCTTTGATTGTTATTGAATTATTTTTGTTGGTTTTGTCCTGGATAAAAAAAAAAGAATGGAAATTTACATTAAGTCAAGAGTTTGTGAAGTGTTGAAAAATTTATAAGAATAACAACAAATGTCTTAATCTATCAATTTGTATATTTTTTTTAATTGCAGTTTAATTTAATTAATTGCACTTTAAATTTTATTTAAATTAAAATATTTGAATCAGAATATATAACTTGTATTTACTATAACTAGTATAATATAATGAATAAATGCTAGTATAATGTGACTGATAATAATTTATATTACATTTTATAGACCGGAGGAAATATTTGATATTAGCGGTGGATTAATTAGTTCAAATTTTGAAATTTGAAATATAGAACGCATTCTTAATTAAATATTTGTTAAATTTTAATAATTTGAAAGCCCAATTTTCTCGAAAATGCTTAAGCAAAACGAAATGGAGTCGATTTGACATCTGAAACTATAACAGATCATAAGTGAAATGCCAAAATTAAAAATATGAAAGTTAAATAGCAGAAAATTGACTTTTAAAGAAATGTACTTATTAGATTAGCAATAGCAATTACTTAAAGTAGAATTATTTCACAACTTAACTAGCCATATTTTCATAGCCATATTTTCATTAACTACGAGCAAAATTATTATTTATGATCTTTATTCTACATTTTAGTTAATTAGAACATAAATTAAAAAAAAGGTGTTACTTAATTTACTATTTGATTCACATTACATTTTTTTGATGTGCTTAATTCAGTTAACCATATACACATAAATATAAAAGTTAGTAATTAGATCTGATTCGAATGTACATATACAAAAGAAATCAATATGTTTAATACAATTAATTTTCAAGTCCGTCCCGTTCTTGACATGATCGTCTTCAAATTACATGTCATAAACGTCATGAACATACATATTAAGTTTATCCATGCCCACTTAGCCTGACTGTCTGTAATATAATCCCACATCTAAGAGGAAAATCACTTTTTTTTACTTAAGAACGTGTCTAAATAAAAAATTATATTTTAATTTGATATAAATACTAAAAAAATGTATGTATAATAATTAATAAATATTATGAAAGATTATACGGGCAAAATTTAATGGCATAAAGAAAAATTCTAATAAAAGAAAATTTTTTTTCAAATTAAAAATTTTAATTTTAAACTATAAAATTTTTTTTTTTAATTTTGCCTTATTATTAAGTTAAGATACCGAAAATTAAAGATGATGACATTACATACATATACATATGTATATATATATATAAGTATGCACGTATAAAAGATTTTGTATTCTTTTCCTCATAAATATTTTTATTTTCTAATTGTATTTTTTTTATTGGGAAAAATATTGGATAATCGCCAAAATGATACTAAAAACAATAAAAATATATATTAGAAATTTAAAAAAATTTCATTATGCGTTGGTTCATTCAGTTCATAAAAAAAAGGAGAATAGATCGAGGAGACACGAAATTAATTAATTGGTTACTTTGTATTTAGCGGCAAAATAATTTGATTAAATTTTTGTTTTTATACACGTATTCAATTGTAGTATTCTCAAAATCCTTTTCATATTTTCACGTGTATACATACAAAATGTAAAGAAAGTCTTTTCAAAATGAAAAAATTTTAAAAAATTTACTTTCAGTCTTTAATAAGTTGCATGGCATGCATTGATTTTGATTTTTTTTTGTAAATGTCAGTTTATTAATCCTTTATAGAACCTAATTGCGTTAAAATAATTTTCTAATGGAGAAACCACAAAAGAAAAGGGACAAAAACGAAGAAGTTCGACATATCACAATGTAAATAAAGTCTTTTCAAAATTAGTTTTTTTAATTTAATATTAGGAAAAAAAATAAAATGCAGCTACAATTGTTAAATTTAATACTTTACGTGGTAGCCCGTAGATTTAGAACAGCCCAAAGTCATCGTTTCATAGAAGTAGTCAATTTTTCCATATCAATTTAATCCGAAATTTTGGACAATTCTTCTATAATATGTTTTATACGGTCACTTTTGGATTTTAGTATACTTTTCGCCAAACTTTACTTCAAGTGGGCCCAAAAATTCTCAATTGGATTGAGGTCTGGACTTTAGGGGAGTGTTTTGAACACTTTTGGGCAGTCATGAAGCAAACAGCTTCTTACCAAATAAGATTTATACTGCAAGCGGTTATACCAATAGAATTTATAATAACCAACAAGACCAAATTTTTCGACTTTGTTTACCAGGTTCGTTTTTAAAATGTCTAGATATTGTTGCTTATCTATATGACCATCTTTAAAAAACAAGTTTAACACCCCGCGACAACATATACAACTCCAAAACATTACAGATAATTTTCCAAATTTAACGATTGGTATAATATTTTTGTTGTTTGGAGCCTATAACGGATTTCCTCACACTAGTTGATCCTTGCTTGTTATATAGCATAATTTTAAATTCATCACAGAATATAACATCGTTGCAATAACGTTCTGATTCATCCTTATAAGTTTCGGATTTTATTAATTGGTTACTTTGTATTTAGCGGCAAAATAATTTGATTAAATTTTTGTTTTTATACACGTATTCAATTGCAGTATTCTCAAAATCCTTTTCATATTTTCACGTGTATACATATACTTGTATCTTATTATATCAGGGATGGTTTTTCAATTATTATGATTTACAACGTTATTAATGCAAATAATTTTTTTAGTTTCCCTTCAAAATTCTCAAACAATCACAAATAAGTAACTTTTGGGAGAAATAAAAAGTATCAACTCCAATTTTTGAAGTGTTTGAAACTTTTGTACAACAAATGTACATATATATACCTATATATATATTTGTATATTAATACACTTTAATTTCAAAACTGACTACAACTATAAACACTTTTTTAAAATGTTTTAAACAAATTCAAAAATCAACTTGAGATTCAATTAAAATTTGACTTGAGATCTTAATATCTCTTGAAATTCCCCTCTGAGTTGCTTTGATGAATTATACATATGTATATATGTATATTTAATTCACAAATTTTGAAAAATTCATGAAACGTCTCTGAAAGAATTCTTATAAAAATATTGTTTCTTTTGTTTCAGACAATTAAAATGTAAATTTTAAAACAAAATCTAATTTAAGAATTTGATTTTTAGAAAAGTAAACAGATTTTTTTTTTGTTTTTTTGGTTTAATTAGAAAACGTATTCAGACAATTTTAAATAACCTAAAAATTACATCAGTTTTTGTCGAAAAAATTAGAATTAAAAGAGTAAAAAAAAAAAAATTATTTTTATCTGACGATGTAAATAAAATTTAAAATTTGCGGAAATTCTGTTGCAAAATTGTTTCACTTTTATTTATTTAATATAACAGAGCTAATAAATTTTATCAGCCGATTTTTCCTTATAAAGCACTAATTTCACTTTTCTTTAGTTTCACTTTTTATTTTCTAAATTTGTAATACAATATGTATGTAGTATATGAATCAAATTTTTTTTTTACATACACATACGTACATATGTACATATATACAAAAATAAAAAAAATATACATAGATAGTCGATTCATTCAAAAAACAAAAAAAGCGATCGAAATTAATCGTAAATCTAAAATCGCAAAAGAAAAACAAAAAAAAA